AGATAAATTCTATGCTAACAAGGCTTAGGAGATTGAACAATATCCTTTAATCACAAGAAGCATGTCTCTAGGGGTGTTAGCTCCCCTATCTTCTTCCAATCTCCTAGCCATGGACCTATTGATGGATCCCACATAAAGCTCCAAGGATGGTCCTCCATCAAGGTTCCATTAATTTTATTTAAAAAATATGAAAGTGTAGAGAAAATAAAGACACTAGAAGGGGGAGTTGAATAATGTCAATTAAAAACTCAACACTTTTTGAACAATAAAGTAGTAATGTGATTGTAAGAGTGCAAACAAAGAGAGAAGAATAAAGAACACAAATTATTTTTATACTAATTTATCTCAATCATTAAGGCTACGTCTAGTCTTTTATCAATCTGATCAAGTTTTACTATGTTTTATAAAGAAACAAGTATTCTTTCACAAGCCATTTCTGGCTCAACTTAAGTATGATTTGACTTGTCTCTTTAAGTAACTGCCAAAGTATTCTTTCAACAATAAAGTCTTTCTAGGCTTCAACAACCAAGTATTATTTACAACAAAGTCTCTTCAGGCTTTAAACAATAACACAAAGTAGCTAGAAATTACTTGTTTTTTCATCTTACTTTCAAGACGTGATACAACCAAATTAAGTACAAAGATTTTACAAAATGAATGAATATTTTTCAAAATTTTTATTCTTCTATTTTTTTGAGTTTTCAAACTTCTTTATGTAGGTATTTCATAAAGATGACCATTGCAAATCCTTGAGCTTCTCTCACAAGCTTACTTCATTTTTCTTTATCTATCTTCCTTGTAGAGAGAAGTGCTCATTGGTGTATTAATTACAATCATTAAATGCATTTCACTAAATTGTCACTTTTTATCTAATCAAGGTGACTACTTATCGCTTTTAAGGTACAAAATATAATGAATTGGTGTGTGTCAATCATAAATGACTTTATCTGAGACTTCACATACATCGAGAGATTTTCTTGTCCTTTTTTTTGACAAAAAATATGTCTTTTTTCCTTTTTGAAGTTCAAGTACCAAATTTTTTTTTATTCCTTTGATCTATCAAGGAATAACATAGACAAAGATGATTTAGTTATCAAACATCATAAATGATATATATTTAATGCACTTGTCTTATACAAATGAAGTGATTCATCTAAGAGACTACATGTCATCATAACCAATCATCTATTTGAATTCATTTGACAAAGTAATCTAAAAACCATTTCCTTAATAAAAACATTTGAGTTTGTTAACATCAAAACTAATATTCTGAGGGATCCAAGATTGTCTTTTGATATAATAGAAAGGTTGTAAAAAAAAACAAAAGCCATAAATAAAGAAAGAGATAAATTAAAAGATTCAAATAATATAAGATATGGGATTAGATTTCACCTACTAAACCTTTTTGTAACCTTAATAGAGATACATATGTTAGTCATTCTCCTACAATGTTATCTAGGATCAGATTCATTCAATACTGATTCCATAGCAAAGAGATCCTAAGTTTTCCTACTTAAATATCAATTCCTTTCATATTTAAAAGGAGAACTTGCATTAAAAAAATCCTTTTAATACTAATAATTTTAACTTTATTCCTAGAAACTCAAACCATTAGGTCATTTTATTTCAAGTCATGATATAGAAAACATTTTTCAATCGAGTTTGATAAGCCCAAGGCTTGGCCATTTGATAAGATTAAGTCTGAGACTTAGCAAAGAAGTTTTGTTAGGACTATGTCCAAGGCTTAACAACTTGTGAAAGACTATGTTTGGTACTTGGAAAACATGTGATGGCTTATGTTATAATGTGCGTTGTGATGTGTTTTAGTCATGCATATCATGCAAAATTTTTCTTAGAGGTTTCGCAAAAGGAATCAACTAAGGAGGTTTATATGATCCTTTATTGTGACCTTGGAGGTGTTGCTAGTTGGGATCTCCTCATCAACATGTTAAGAAATGAGTACCTTGATTGGACCTAGTTGGAAAGTCTAGGACTTGGCCATCAAATAAGACTAACTTCAACACTTAGCAAGGATAATGTGGTATTTGTGAGATTGGTGTCACACGCATAACAATGCATAAGGGTTTGCATTTATGTGTGAGATATGAGATGCGTGATTATGTATGAGATGTGGATGTTTATGTGGTGAATGTTTTAGTTACTGCTAGACCTTTCATTTCATACTAAGGCATGTTGTGAAATGTATTATCACTCCCTATATTGTTTTTTGTTTCCTTTGTTTGGACTGAAAGCCACTTGTAGGTGAGGCACAACTAGATAAGGATAATGATGTGGAAGACAAAGAGTAGACTTATTTTAATGCTTTTGGGTTTACTCTAGTAGATGTGACATTGAGATTCTAAGAATAAAATATAATCCTTAGTTTGACTTTTAATATTTAGTAATTTTAGTTCTTGGACCTTCTTTTGGTTTTAGATAAGCTTTGCAAAGGCCTTTGGAATGCCTTGTTAAACCTTTTGCAATAGTCATGGTTTTGCTTTAATACTTTTATTGAGAATCTTTAGTAATGTGAACCTTTTATCCAAATGAAATAACGTGGTCTATATATTTAAATTATAGTAATTTATCATAATTTAAAAAAAAACATTTTGGAGGTAAATGGTGCCACAAAATAAGTTTTTCTTATGAGGTATGTACCTTGGATTAGGTCATTGGACTTGGAGGCTTTAGCACCATTAAGAGTAAAAAATTTCTTTATAGTCTTCAGTCGACTAACTTTATATTTGTTGTCCAACTTATCTTATCTTTGTAAAATTTACCACTCTTATACTCCACCTTAGGATTAGGAATATCCCTTCCAATACGCCCTTGTTTCCTACAATTGAAGTATGTCACATCTTTATCTTTGTGGTCTGTCTTATCATGACCAATGCATCCACACTTCTTGCACCTTCATTAGGTAGAAAAAGAAATCTCCCACTTTCATTATCAAATGAGTGACTAGTAATGAGCTATGGACCTTAAAAAATAATTCTTCTTGGTTAATTAGATCTGCATAAGGTTTCACATTATTTTGAGCATAATTTTTTTTCTCCCTCACTTGGTGCACTTTCTTGTAATATGTTGCCTTCGCCTTGTTGTCTTCATAAAAAATCCAATAATGGTTCATTAGTATGAGAAACTAAAGAATCTCTTGATAATTAATGACTTACTCAATCTCAAGTCGTAGGTTATTTGGGCACTCTCCTACCTCATGGTTGTAGTGAGGAAAATACCTTGACCAGTCCTTAAACCTAGTGGCATACTCCTCCATGGTCAAGTTTCCTTAGTTGAACTCCGAGAATTTCATCTCCAGGTAGTTTCATATGTCCTCATAAAAGTACTTTTTCAAGAAAATCTCTTTGAAAACTTTCCATGTTATTAATCTAGTTTTGTCCACCAAACATTGATGGATATTCTCTCACAAATACTTAGCTTCCTCTATGAGCATGAAGTACTAAGAGCTACCTTTTTTCGATTGAGATATGTCATCTCTCAAAAATTCATCTCAATTTTTCTCATCTAGTTTTGTACTCTATTGGGATTAAAACCCCTTTTGAATGTAGGTGGATTATTCCTCTAGAATCTATCCAACTCGTTATACTCAACAAAATCATAACTCTAGTATTATGATTTATCACAGTTTCAGCTAAGGTGTTAGAGCATCAATAATGTCATGAACTTTCCTACCAACCATTTACTTCCTTAAATTTGTTGCATTCACACAAAAAGTAAAACATAGTAAGATCACAACAATAAACCAAAACAAATCAAACAAGTCACAAAGTACAAATAGAAAACAATGAAAAATACATAACATCCTGGCTAAATGTATGAGGTTAATTAAGGACTAATCCCACTACCACAATTTATTAACACATCTATGAATGACATAATTTCACTCCTCCTTAATTGAAGAATGTTACTGCAATGACAATGGTGCAAATCCTCAATCTACTCCTCGGGCTTCTTGCTCCTCTGTGTGTGGTTTTGATGACAAAAAAAAAAGAGTATTAGGAAAAGATCACTTTTCAAAAACTAATGACTCTAAGGAAAGTTGAGCCAACAATGAGAGTTGGTCTCTTTTCCATGCAACCTTAGTAAAAAAAAGAACATCAAAAGAATATTTTGATCATAAAAATCATGGCTCAATTAATAACCTAGGATTGAAATAATTTTCTATGTAAAACTAAAACAAAAGTTGAATTACACATTTGATCCCTTTATTTTTGTCAATATGCAATTTTGAATTTTCTTTTAAAATAGAGACCTTTAATCTCATTTTAGAAAATATAAATTGATCTTATCATTAATTTTATATTTATTAATTATTAAATTTTACTATTGACTCGTGATCTATCAACACTTAATTGATATAACGTGATATTTAAAAAAAATAAAAATAAAATTTAATATACACAATAAAGGGGATACGCTTTTTTGATGTATACATTTTGTTGATTGTTTTACCTTTTAATTATCAAAATACTCTCATTTAGTTTTTAGTCTCATTATATCTCTATTTTTCATAAATTTATTTTTCAAACTTATCACACTCTCTAGTTATTAATCACCTACACATATTTAATTTTAATTATTTTTATCAATTATTTTCTAAAAACTTATATAAAAATACGAAATATCTTTTTTATACTAATCATAATAAAATAAATATTACATGTTAAAAAAATATAGACAATTTTTTATATAATTATTTTTATTTTTTAATTTTAAATGATACATAATTAAATATCACATCATCAATTAAGTATCAATGTATGTTGATTAAGAACCTAGACTAAATTTTCACTTATTTTTTTAAAAAATAGATTCAAATCTTGTTATTATCATTTTTCTCATTAGATCAACACTTTTCCACTCTAGGGAAACTAAAATTAGGGATGGATAAAAAAAATACAAGAAAAAAAAAATTACAATTTCCTCCCACAGTGACAACATAAAACTAATTTATAACTGTAAAATCATGATTCAGTCCCAAACTTTGCAGGCTCCACCCTCCCTCCCTCTCATAAACCACCAATTACTTGTCACCTTCTCCATCTCATCTCTCCTCACACACACACACACACACACGCAATGTCCAAGAACAAGCTCTGCACGCCCCTTTCCACCCTTATCACTCGCACCCTAACATCATCCACCTCCATTTTCCCCCCTCACGTTAACAAGCTCCCTGTTCTTCATCGCGCATCCCCTTCTCCCCACCCCACCTTCGATCACCCTCACTCTCTCGCGTGTCTCCGATTTTCCGACAAAACCTTCTGCTCCAAACCTGCGGCGGAAACCCAACGTGGGTGCTGCTGGAGTTGTCGCGCTGTCCCTTGTTCCGCACCTTTTCTCGTCTGCGACTCGTGTCGCTGCGTTCAGCCCATCGATGGTTCTGTTGACTACTTTGAAATATTCGGGCTGTGAGTTTCTGGAGTTCTGGTTTTTGGTTCTGGGTGTTTAAATTGATCCCAAAGTTTTCATCTTTGTTAAGGAAAGGAGAAAAGTTACCTGTTATATCCGTTTGTTTAGGTGTTTTTTTTTAATGCTATTGATGATCAGAATTAGAGTTTCTGCAATTCGAGTATTAAGGATTTGTGTTGATGTTAATATTAGTACGTGTTAGCCAAGTGAAACTCTAATTGTTCATGAACTCCATGTAAGTTTTGTTCTTATGATTGTTCATTTGCTTTTAACCTTGGTTGGTCAATAACAATGAGAAGGAATGGGTATGTGTGTGGGTGTTGTCGATTCAGTTTGTCGTGTCAAGATGGTTTAGTTTAGTTGGTTGAGCAGAGTGCGTGAGTGGTTGTAAATTTCCTTGAGGAGTCCAATTCCCATGGATTAAGAAAGTTTGTTTTGTGGCATAGTACTGGTAAGGTGAAAATTGGGATTTTGGGAAATAATAAATATATATATATATATATATATATATATATAGCTTAGGTTGTTGCTTACATCATTTTCAAGCAAAAGGGAAAACTGTATTCTTTTGTTTGTCATAATTGTGTCTTAGTTAGGTTTCTGAGTTTTGTTGCAGGGGTGGGAATCAGTGGTTTAGTTTTTGTGATGAAGAAAAGAGAAATAGATTGATTTAATGAATGAGTTGATGTCTCATAAATTGAATGGATGAGTTAATATTTTTTTTATAATTTTAATTCAACAGGGAGAGGAAGTATGACATGGAGGGTGAGAATTTGGAGGGCAAGTACAAAGAGTGGCAAAAGAAACTGCATCCTGATTTAGTACATTCAAAATCTCAGGTTGGCATGACGGGATGTCTTTTCTTTTCTTGCTTTTTATTTCATATTTTTCTTTTCTCTTATTGTTTTAATGGGGGAGGGTAGTGAGGTTGAATTTGCTTTTGGAGAACCTAAAAGATTTTTTTTTCCTTTCAATTGGTTAGAAAGAAAGAGATTTTGCTGCCGAACAATCTGCAAGGGTGATTGATGCATACCGTACTCTTAGCAAGCCTTTGTCAAGAGCAATTTACTTGGTAAGCATACTCCCGTGCCAAGATTCCAAATTGATGATGCTTCACTACAGAAATCTCCGTGGAATTTTAAAATCTAAAGTTTAAATGTTTAATGGTGATTATATATATTTTTCTTGATGAAATCTATTATTGATTGGAGACAAATAAATCAAGCATATCATCAATTTAGGCTTTCCATCAGTGTCTTTAGTTATATATTGTTCAATTTCAATTGTTTCTTCTGCAATGTTACCATGTAAGTTGTGCCATTTTTTCAGATGAAGCTTTATGGGGTAGAAATTGATGAAGAACAGACAATTTCAGATCCAGAATTACTAGCAGAGGTAACAACAGAATAGAGCCTTATTTGTTTTAAATGTTAAATTTCCTCTTAACTTCCTTTTCACAGTAAACAAAATATCAGTGAAAAAGTACTTTGAAAATGGAGTGGTTAGTTATTAATTATTATCTTTGAAGCTTTAATCACGTTTCATTCTCAAGGTTCTTTTTGTGATCTGTACCTGTAAATGGGGAGATTGATAAGTGTTGTCATTAGTTACTGCAGTTGATGGTAGTTATAAAATGAGAGAAGGGGTGATATTGGATTCTAACTCATTGAAATCATGATGGGTAGGTATTTCCTTTTTCTCAGCATTTGGAAACCCATTTCCCATTTAGGACCGGGCTTTGTCGGTTTTCCGAAGATTGACTTACCTTAAAGTGAAAATAACAAATTTTAAATGTAAAAGGCACAATTCATCTTGTTATGTGTTCAAGGAAGTGAAAGCAGCATTTTATCTCAGGAAATATTTTACTCTTTTTTACCCTTTTTATTTATTAATTGTATTTTCTTTCTCTTGAATAAATGCGCTTTCTTTTCTCCAGAATGTAAATTGAATTCTGAAATTTTTATGGTAAGATTAATGGTATATGTTATTGCCTATCTGATGCCTCTTATCTCATCTATCCCTCTTCTACCAAAGGAAAATCTAGCTTCCAAAGTTCCAATCTTATTATATTGCTAAATTTTACTGCAGATTATGGATATAAGGGAAGCTGTTGAAGAAGCAAGTACCCCTGAGGCTTTGAATCTTATTCTCTCTCAGGTACACATGGAAACTTCAATTTGCAAGGCAGAAGTGCTACAAAGAGAATGATGGGTTCAAATATAGATTTTGAATTATGATTAGTTTGATTCCATTTCTTCATGTCATCTTTTCACTTTTGATTGTTGATCCAGATGCACGAGAAGATGCAAAATTGGTCTAATGCCTTTAGTCATGCTTTTCAAAGCCAGAGTTTTGAGGAAGCAAAATTGGCAATTAGGAGAATGACTTACTATACTCGTGTAATTGATGAAGTTGTAAAGAAGCTTTGATATAGGTAATATCAATATTTTCTTTTGCCTGATTCTTTGGGTTACACTTCTTAATATAAGATGAAAGTAAGAAATTTGAAAAGAAGAATTGTTCCTTGTGATAAATTTTGCTTTGTTCTTACTTGAAGTAGGTCAATTAGAAAGAAATGATAATAGGACGATACATTGATACCTATTTAATATTTTCATCTCATTCATAATTTTTTTTTAATGCAAATTGGTGAAAAGGAGCTGAAAATGGCAGAGTTATAAGCAACTGTTAACATTTCATACCTCTGTTTCACTCCTATCATTCAAGTGTAAGAGTAGAGCAAGTGTCCTTCTACTTAGCAGTGGGGTTAGTCCTTTGTCATTTATTTCTATCTTATTTTTTCTTCTTATAACATGCTGCCTGAAAAGTCTTACGAAGGCAACCTTAGTTTGAGTTTATCAACCAGAGGAAATAGTCTCACCATATATTTATTTTTTAAAAGAAGAATGTTATCTTCATTTTTTTATCTATCATATGCAAGTCAAGCAAAGTCCTCATGACTGTTATGATGATTCTATCAGCTAAATTACATATTTTAAATCCAAAATTTACAATGTGTCAAGGTCCAATTTAAGGAGGTAGAAGGGAGAAATTCTTGAATAGTCATGAACATGGAGGATCCATTAATGCATTCTCCAAAAACATTTCCACCATTGATTGGGTTGGTAGCCTAATGATGATGTTAGTGTGCTTAAAATCAATTGTGAAAATATTCCTCAAGAATATTAATTGCTAAACCAGGAAGCATGTAATAATTGCCCTGTAAAAAGTGTGGGATAATATCTTTTGTCCAAATTCTACATATAAATTATAATTATAAACCGACTTGCTATCTTGTGCTATATGTATATGAATATTTACACATTACTGGACCATTTCTGACATTATTGTTAATCATGTTCCAGGACATTATCACTGTTGTACCTGTTCTGCCTTTTGTGCTTCAAGGCATTTGCAGTAAAATGTATCACTCTGTCAACAACTAATGATTCTACTGATTCATTGTTTCTCTAGTTTACTACCTCGGAAATGTTATAGATAATTTACTTAAAGCTGCTTGTAGTTCTGCCTCTGATTCCTTGATTTTCATATTATTATTGATTATATTAATGTAGGACTCAATCACGGAGCTGTTGCTTTGGGGCATACGATAGAGAATTTGACTCGCTTATCCTCATGAAGTGGCCATAAATCACCATTTGATTTCATCATAGTCTCAATGGACCTTATAGCTTCTCTCTGTCCATTTGAAGTTCACATTTTGTCACATCATGAGGCACATCCTAAGCACGCTTCCTTTGAGATCCGCTGCATGCTACAAAGCAACACTAGTTTATGTATTAATGAATATAGTTATTACGTAGTATTTTCCCAACACGAGTGGATGACCTTGGGAATTTTGCTACAGTTGTATTTTGATGCAATAAAGGTGTTGTGGCAAAGATAGCATCATAACATTGCATTCTTACGAGGTTATGCAATTTGATGTTTGTAAACGAGATGCTAAATAGTATTAAAATAACCATTTGGCGAGTTTCTATTCATTCACACGTGGCCATGCACTCATCATTTTTCTTTTGTGGATAATTATTACTTTCTTGAGGTTAATTTCTTTCACTGAGATGAGATTAGAAGTCAATGATAACGAGAAACAACAATCGCATAAATCCAAAAATTTCCAAAGGTTAAGAAAGAAAATAAATCAAATTACGAGCTTGCGCTTTCTTCTTAATTCTGTTTTTTGTTGCAATACAACACGGGCTAAATCTCTTTTACCTTCTCTGTTTAGCCCATAAAATAACGTTCGAAAATTAACAGTACTTGGAACAATTCCACTGTCCAACATTTCAGAAATAAGTTTCATCCCTTCTTCAGATCTCCCAACCTTGCAAAGGCAAGTGAGGAACATAGAATACGTTTCAAAATCAGGAAAGGGTCCTTTGACTTTCATGCGGTAGAAGATGTTCCATGCATCAATAGGCCTCCCCACGTTCATGTACCCACGTACAAGTGCAGAATATGTGACAATGGTTGGTTCATAACCTGAATGTTGCATCTCCTTAAAAGTCTCAATAGCTTTCTCTACTTGTTTCTCTTTAAAGAAATGAACTATTAGAGATGTATAAACATGGATGGTAGGTGCAACGCCCTTATGTTTCATGACATCCACCTTGGCTAATGCCTCTTCTAATCGACCCTTGCGTAATAGACCATGAACAATGCTTCCACAAGTTAACTGGTCTAAAATAGATTTCTCTTCCCCAACCTCTTCAAGTAATGTCAATGCTTCTTCCACTCTCCCAGCTCTACAAAGAGCTCTGACAAACAAGGAATAGCTGAGAGGGACTGTATAGCCAAGATTTTGAAGAGTATCTGTGCATCTCCTAGCCTCCAACACTCTACCAACTTGACATAAACAACCAAGGTAAGTTTCAATCAATTCTTTGTCAGGGGCATATCCTGCACTAATCATCTCACCATATATTTTGAGAGCATCATCAACCTTCCTTCCTTTCCTCCCACAAAGGGAAATTATCAGATACTTATATGTACTCCTACTCGGGCTATAACCATCAACTTTCATCTCTTTGAAACAATTCATGGCCATCTCAGTCAGACCAGTTCGGCCGTAAAGCATTATCATGATTGTCCATGTTTCTGACGTTATTGGATAACTATTTCTTCTCATTTCAAAGAACAGGCTGCGCATGTGCTTGAAGTCTTTGCCGCAGCCTGCAATTTTGATTGCCATGTTGTAAGATTCTGCAGTGTGTTGATATCCAGTTTGCTTTCCCACCCATGAAAAAAAATTAAGGACAGAGTTGCCATTCATATTGCAATTTCGCAATATCTCCATAACAAGTTCTGGGGTGAACTGAATGGTGCTTTTCTCCAAATTTTGTTGGATTAAGGACCAGTCAATAGAGGATGAAAGAATCCTACAAATTCCATAAACATCTTGCTCGCTGTAAGTCTTAATGAGTGGATGTATTAAGGAACAATCAATTTCTGATTTTGATTGGTCAACTTTGACATCCTCGTCCACCTTAATTCTCAGAGATACTTGTTTGTCTGACTCCTTGAACTTTTCAGGATCAAGTGTTGATGCTTTACGCATCTGCTGGATTTTCTCTATAACAGGAAGCTCCCCTTTTTTCTCCATATAATTTATAACCCAATGGAATACTTTATCTTGAATTTTAATCTTTGAAGCCTGCATTTCGTGCAATACTTTGACAATGTCATCTGTCCTTGAAGCCTTGCAAAGCTCCTTAATGAATACTGCATATGATTTCAAAGTGGGCTTGATGCCTTGGCACTCCATACTCTTGAACATTTTCCATGCTTCAGATATACGGTTTTGCGAAACATGACCTGCGACCATAGCTGTTATTACCACATAATCTGGCTTAATTCCTTTTCCCAGCATCTCATCATACAGCATACAAGCTTCTTCATACCTACTCACCCTAAAGAGATGCTGTATTAGTTCAGTATACGTGGAAATAGTTGGCACACAACCAGATCCTTTCATGCTTTGAAACACTTTGAGCGCCCCATCAATATCATTTCTCCCCAAATACCCATTAATGACAATACCATGAACCTTCCCGTCAACCATATCCCTTCTCTTCATAATTTCAACAATCTCTAAAGCATCTGTAATCCTGCCAGCCTTACACAGCCCTCTCACCAAGGTCTCATAATATTCAGGTTCAAGATCTGAATCTTTATTTTTGAGGTCACGAATCAATTCAAAAGCCTCTTCAATCCTCCCAGAAACACAAAAACTCTTCAGCATACAGCCTAGAACACGGTTTTCTGGTATCAGACACAACCGTATCATGTCATTTCCAAGCAGATTAACAGCTGCAACATCGCCTGATCTCGCCATGCAGTTCATGATCATCTTATACAACCTCACATCAAGTACCATATCCTTCTTAACCATGTCATTGTAGAACTCCATAGCAATGTCACCCTTCCCAGCACTGCAAAGCGAGCGGATTATCGCTCCATACGAAACTGCATCCGGTTCACAACCATGCCTTCTCATATTTTCAAAGGCCAACAATGCTTCGCTAATCTTCTTCGCCTTCCCATAATGGGTTATAAGAATGGTCCACGTATTAACATCCTTTTCAATTCCACACTCATCCATTTCTTCTACCAACTTCTTCACCAACCCAAATTCCTTAGCTTCCCCAGCAATGTACAACATGGTATTATAAGTCCGCGTCGTGTGACTAAAACCATCCTTGAGCTTCAGCCAATTGAAAACCCTCAAAGCCAATTGCGGCATTTTGAAGCACCTCTTCAACACCTTGTTAAAAACCTCACTGTTCAACTCATAACTCAGATTCTCTAACCTCTCCTCCACAGAAAAGGAACCGATTTCCGCTCTAACAATTTCAGTAATCTCACCAACAACTCGGCTCACATCTTCTTCACTCATGTTTCCCATATGGGCATCTTCCAAAACGCCAACATTCTGTCCGGCATTTTCACAAACATCTTCGGTGCACGGTGGTTGGTCATTGAAACCCACTTGAGAGTGGCGAGATTCAAGGGGAAACAAAAACCCAGATGGGGATTGGTCTGGGATCACGGTATCTGCTCCTAGAATCTCCGTAATCTCATTGAAAAGTGCACGAGAGGCATCGGTGTCCAAGGGTTTGTTGTTGTGAGGAAGTTGTTGTGTTGTTCTGTGAGGGCGTGGAAGTTTTGCGGCGTTGGAAAGATGCAAAACGTGGGGTTGTGAGAAGAGGGAATCGAGGGATCGGAACTTGCATAATGATCTCATGGCAAACTTGAAAATATTGTTGTCACTAAACACCTAATTGTTCATGGTTCGAAGTTCAGGATTCCATAACCATGATAGACTTAAAACAACAAAGTACAACAATGTTTTTAACACTTGTGTTGGAAGAGACTACAGTAGAAAGATAACAAATGAAGTAACAAATGTGTTCCGAAATGAGATGAAAAAGAGTAGAAGGATGAAAATAGTTGCGGATTTTTGGAAACTTTTTTTTATATAATTCAGTTTTGAGGCGTCATAATAATACCGGTGTAATTTTTATTAAAATTTACACTGTTTAATAACTTTATATTAAATGTAAATTTTGTAAATTTAACCGTTAGATTGAAAGTTCATATCTTTTAGATCATATATATAATTTTATACTAATCCAAGATGATTTAATACTTCATTTTTATAAAACAAAATTGATGTAATATATTCATTTCAAAATATATTAAAATATAAATACTTTGATTACCTTTAAGTTATTGTTTAATTTTAACAAGATTTGATATACACGTATAAAGTGATATGAACTTTCAATCTAACGGTTGGATTTACAAAATTTACAATTAATATAAAGTTATTGAGCAGTGTAATACTTAGTAAAAGTTACACCGGTGTAATTATAACCCCCCTCTTCAATTTTATATTTATCACATTTAGTTATAAATTAGGTTTTAATATTTTAAAAATTATCAAAAATTCAAAATATCTTGTTCCAAAATGTAAATTATAGATTTAAATATATTTTAATTTATGTAAATATATGTCATTATTTTTATTATATATAGTCTTTAAAAAGTCATATTACAAGGATAATGTCAAGGAGGATGCAAGAAGAATGAATTCATGATGAAGGTAAAAGGTCTAAGTTCATTTTTGAGTTATAAATTAATTATTTACTCCATATATTCTTTGTGTATAATTTTTTGTAAATATTTTTTGATCTTGTATTATTTAGTCAAGAAGTACAGGAATTTATGTTCTTTTAATTTTTTATTTTAGGGGTGTAAATAGTATTTTAGAGAGAAGTAACTAGAAAATGAGATATAAATTTATTGGACTTGAATAACCTATTAGAGAACCTCTTGGTTGCAAGGTCCTTGAGTGGGATGTCTCCTTATATAGAGACAAGTGGTTGGATGTCCATATCCACTTGCAAAGACAAGTGGTTAGATGTCCACATCAAGGGTGACAATGTGTCTCATAGTCCATTTAAGACTATATAAAGTTACATTATAAAGTTACATGGCCTTGTCTAGTCACACATTTGGTATCTTGCCATGTGACAAGTCTTTATTATAATGACATTTTTAGGAGGGAAATTCAAATTTGAAATATTAACTAGAGTTAATAGTCTTGAGTATAAGTTAACCTAACCTAGGTTACATATAACCTTGGTTAGCTTAACTTGCACTACAAGCTACCAAACTTTATATATAGCCTCCTCCAAGTGTTTATGCATCACTTTTGAGCACTTTGAAAAATAAAACCAAATTTATCTTTCAAAAGTTCTAATTTTCTCTTTGGAAAAAATCTCTCCTTATGAACTTTTATTAAGGAATTCCTCCTGGTGACAAGTTCTTCACCTTCTTGCTTATATTCACTTGAAGTGATGCACACCATCCCTATTCTTTCCACCATTTTCGAATTTGATTTGAACTTTGGAGTTCCTTGGATGAAGATTGAAAGCATCGACGAAGCTAGTTGAAGAGAAATATTAACCATCTCCTCCTTAATTTCATCATAATTGGTATCATGAGCTTTGGTTCATCCGTGGAGGTTTTTTCTTTACTTTTTTGTATTGTTTAAGTTTTCTTACATGTCTTGTGTAGTATTTGTTTCTTAGATTTAATTTTTTGTATGTTATGTGATAGATCTAAAATGTCTTGAAAAATTTTAGTTCAAAATTGTTTTAGTACTAGTTTTTATGAGTCAAATCTATTTGTATGACCTTAGGATTCTTGTTCTATGAGCTTTCATTTTTTTTATATATATGAAATGATGTTTAATGTATGAAAATAGTTCCTGTAGTGTTATGTGTATTTTCCTTTTAAAATCTATGCAAATGCTTTTGTCTTAGAGGTCTTGTGTAGTCCTTGTTTTTGAGGTTAGCAGAAATACACACAGAAGGGGGGTTGAATGTGTGTGTTCGAATTCGAAGGAAAATTTTAGAGTTATTTCACAAGAGTACTTTTGGCAAATCTAAGTAGAATCTTCGTCTAGTGATTTTTGTTTTAACAAAACTAATTTTCAACGTAGAAGATTAAATAAACTGATTTTCAGTCTGGAAAACGTTATCGTCTAGTAAAATAGTTTTAACAAGGTCAAATAAGTTTTCGTCCAAAGCTTTGTTGAAAAACGAAGTAGATCAGATGCAAAGTATGTAATGTTGAGAAGAAAAAAAGAATGCACAGACAATTATACTAGTTCACTCAATTTGAGCTACGTCCTGTTTCCTTCCGTAGAAGGGTTCCACTAATCACAAAGGATTACAAGTATTCTCAACCACTTCTGGCTCGTAAACTAGACGCTAGTATTCTTAACCACTTCTAGTTCTACAAGTACTCTCGACCACTCCTGGCCCGTCGGCTTCACTCACCAATGTTAGTATTCTCAATCACTTCTAGTTCACAAGTATTTTTTCTACTAGCCTCTTCAGGCTTTACAACAGTTGTGGGTTTTGAATGTGTGTATTACTCTCATAGAAAGGATCGGATAATTTCTACACTCACTAAGGTGCGTAACCTTAATTTTCTGATATAGGTGTCTGAGTGTTTGGTTACTCTCGTAGAGAGGATGAACTATTGGAAACACTCACTAAGATAAGCTATCTTAGTTTTTACACAGATATACAGGAATTTCTTTGAGAAGAAAAAGATAGTTTACGCTCTTGATTTTCTTTTTCGTATTGGACGTTTTTTTTTTCTCAACTCTTCTATTCTTCTTCTTCTTGGCCTCGATACTTATACACTTTTTGATAAATCTTCCCGTTGCTTTTAATTTGAATTTTTCCGTTAAAGCGTAGGCTTGTGTCGTAGCAGATGGACGCTTTGTTCATGTTCATGCAGATCTTCTCATTTAATGCATTTGATCTTGCATTAAATGCTTGCTTGTATTTGTGGAGCTTCTCTGTGTAGTTAATTTCTTCGATATCTGACTCCAATCATGATCTAGGTATATTTGTACTTTTCTCATCAGTTTAGCCGCTGCGGTGTGTTAAGTCTCAATTATACTTCTTTTTAGACAAGACTTATTGAACAATTCCACTCATCCTATGCACCCTTGCAAGATAATTGTTCTCTTTTTGATTCAATTTTTGTGCAGATATAGCTAACCCAATTTCATCTAACAATACCTTGATACACCTCATTTTTTGTGCAGGTATTGAGTGAAGAGTTGAAAGTTGAAGATCCTTTGGATTGGAAATTAAAGGAGCTAAGGAGCAGGAGAAGAGTAACTGCGCCGGGCGCAAGATTACCCGCGCCAGGCTTGAGAAGAACAGAGAGCCACTCTCTCTACAATGCAGAAATGCGCTAGGCGCAAGAAGATGCGCCGGGCGCGCTCAACACAGAGAGCAACTCAAACTCTCTGGAAGGTGTTGTGCTGGCTTAAAAGAAAATTTCGTCGGGCATGCTCGAGACAGAGAGTAACCAAACTCTCTAGAAGGCCCTGCGCCGGGTGTAAAGACTAATGCGCCGGACGTGGTAACCCTAATCTGATTCTCCAAGCTTGTATTTGAAGAAATCTTTGAGGTTTTTCTCCTCATTCACACATTGGACAAATTCTAGGAGTAGAGGAAGGGATTCCCGGAGCTTGGGATCGTTCGTGTGTGGGTCTTTCCTTCGGTTCTTCATTCTCTCTTTCATCTATGTTGGGCATTTTTATTGGTTATTAGTCTGCCCATGAGTAGCAAGTAAGTCAGTTAAAGAACTAGAGAGAACCAATGAACAGTAAACCAATTACATGTTATGTTGTGCATTTGTGTTGGTTATTAGTCTCCCCAGTTGTAGCAAGTAAGTCAGTTGAAGAATTAGAGAGAACCAATGAACAGTAAACCAATTACATGTTCTTTCTCCTAAACTACAAAACAACAACCAAATACTTGTAAGTTACCTAAAAACATGATTCAAAAACAAAATGTGATCACCTAACAATTTAGATATGTTTTGAGTTAAAAACAAAGTCTAAAGCAAGGAAAATTGATATAAGTGCTTCAAACTAGGCCATAAACTTAATGAAATCATAACACTTATCAGTGGTTCCTTTAGGCTTTTGTTGTGTTGAACTCTGTGTTGTGTTGGATGTTGTGTTGATTTGTGTTGAGTAGTTGAGATGTAGTGTGTTGAATGTGTTGTTCATTTTGTAGAAGATGCTTAGAACATGAGCAGATAGCCCATGCCATGGAGATGATGGTTATGGCTATGCAACAGTAGAATGCCTACTTTGCTAGGATGGATGCTGAGAGAGCTGGGACTAGTGCAGCAAGACCAGTTGGGTCATAGGAGACTCGGGATTTGGCTGAGTTCAGGAAGTGTAGTCCTCCTTAGTTTAGAGGTGATGCATATCTGAAGGTGGTTGACCACTAGATTTGCGAGTTGGAGAAGATATTTTCAGTTCTAGGTTGTTCAGAGGAGCGAAAGCTCAACTATACAGTGTATATGTTGATAGGGGAGGCAGAGTATTGTTGGAGAGGTACTAGTCAGATGCTGAATTGACCATGGAGTGGTTGTGGACTGGGTGTGCTTCAAGAGGCCTTCCTTGAGAAGTACTTCCCAGAGAATGTTAGGCATGCTCGGAAGGCAGAGTTTATGAGTTTTTAGCAAGGGGGAATGTCAGTGACCGAGTACGCCATGAGATTCAAGCACTTGGCACACTTCTACACCCAAGCCACCTTTGAGGCTTGGAAGTGTATGAAGTTTGTTGAAGGCTTGAAGTATGATTTGAGGAGAGTGGTGGTGCCTATGGCACGAAGTTTCAAGCCTTGGTAGAGAAGGCAAAGATTGTAGAGCGGTTAGAGAGTGTCGACTAGCCAGCGAAGATTGTTGGTGGGCCAGCTAGGTCCAAGAGTGGTGGTGGTTCTTAGAGGAAGCCTTATGATAGGCCCCAATCACTATAAGGGAGTCTTGTCACAAGAAAACCTATTGACACAGCTAGGAATGGGG